ATCTCTGGATAATAACGTTAACCAATATTGTGTGTTAATGTATTTGACTATTGGTCATAGCAAACATGTTATTAAAGGTCCCATCATATGCTTTTCCGGTTATTACCCGTCCCCTTGTGTGTTATGTAGCTTTTTATGCATGTAAACGGTCTGCAGAGTCACAAACCCTCAAAGTACACCCTGTAGCGAGTAAAACTCTAACACAGAAAAGACCTGTCTATGCTGCCCCAGAACGCCTCGTTGGAGATTTTTCTTTTTCCATTTTTTTCTTCCGGGGAAGGTTGACGTCACTCTGGACCAAATGGAACAATCCAACAAGGCGTGTAGGACAGTGAATACACATACTATACAGAGATGCTGTATGAGAAAACCAATGTGATTTTGGAACATTGAACAATGTAAATCTATTCTAGTAGACCTCAACAATGGAATTATGATCAGTAGAAATGGCCAAGACATGGGACCTTTAAGAAATAGGGTTTCAGGGTATTTAAATAAAGTGAGAAGAAGATGACTGGACATTTACATCAGCCTTTTGTATCCAAGCGTGAATATCATTTCAGTTCCAAGCTGTTCAGATGTGAATGAAGCTGTAGTAATTTATCCATCAGTATACTAAAATGTGGGCATATTCCGCTGGTTTTCTCGTACGACATGATCCAAAGGGACCATTTAGCGTGCTACAGTTTGCTAAAAGTAAAAGAGGTTTAGTAGGCAATTCTTCTGTGTCCCTGAACAAATAACAAAAACTGCTGACGTTTTAAGGCGGCCGACGAAGCAGTTTATCCTCTGGCATCAACATGGCAGCCAACATGATTCCACACAATGAATATGGATCGTATAATGCTTTCAAAAAAAGGAAACTTAAAGGTGGGGTATGTAATTTATTTCAGAAACATATTGTTTTATTCCATGGAATGCTCTTAACATCCCGATAGCAATGAATATATTAAATGCTTTGACAATAAATACATAAAGAAATGTCATCTGTGGAAGCCGTAGCGCTGTAAAAAGCACGACCAATCATTTTAGCCGGCCCGTCTAAAATAACTGGATGGCCTACCTGCCTGTCAGCCTTCCATCTGTGCACAAACTTATCTCGTGCCCTCATTGGTCATGTTCGACCAATGAGTTCGACACGTTCATGTGTGTTGGAGGAGGGGCTCTCTAAGGAAGTGGCAGATTTTTTCCGGTTGTGTATTTTCAAATTCTAGGGCACTCGAGCTGGTTTCCCTAAAATTACCTACCCCACCTTTAACTGTATTTTCATGTCCCTGCTGTTGAACACATGGAAGAAAGACAGTTTCTGTGTTTTTAGATTGTAAACTGCACAAGGTGTATGGATTCTCTGGTTGTGAAGATAGTGAGGAATGTATCTGTGTATTCCTCTAGCAGTAGAGTCTGAGTCATGGAACACTGTCCCTCTAAATCACTGCAAAGAAGTACTGCATACAGTACAACAGAACAAGATCTGAGTTCCGTTTTGTTGGTTAAAGGGACCTGTACTCCTATCAGAAGAAAAGTAATGTTAGCATATAATACCATTGATACTGGCCAACATGATGCCACATGTTTCTGATTACACTTCTGTGCTGCCATGTGCTCCCCAGAGTCCAATTTCCCCCTGTGGAAGTCACAACGGGTGTCAAAATGCATGCATATCTATAAATCTTTCTTCAGCAAAATTGTTCCAAAATACAATTTCAGTGTACAGTCTGATATCGCCGTTGTTCATTAAATCCTCCAATCCCCTGACTTCAGACCGAGATAGAACACATGATCACCACTAGTGAATTAAAGTCTTTGCTGACAAACATAGCTGGCAACATTTTGAAACAAAAGCACGGAGAGATAGTTGAGTAGCATGAGTCCAAGACTGGTTTTTAATGAGTATATACACAAATGTACAGAGCAGTATTTGTAAAGGGTGTAGGTTTAGTTTCAGGAGCAAGAGATTGGAGAGGACTGCAGTGCATTACAAAGATGTAACTGGTCATTTAATCATAACATCGTTGCCTCTGTATCTTCGTAATCCTTCATTTTTTCTAGGAGTCCAGATGTGTGTGGGTCACCAGTACTTTCTTTTTTTTTTAATCATTGCCCAAAAAGGACTGCATACAGTTCAACAAAGATCTGAGATAAGTTTTCGGGGGTTAAAAGGACCTGTACTCCTATCGGAAGAAAAGTAATATGACCATTTGATAACTGGCCAACACGAAGCCACATATTTTTGATTTCACTTCTGTGCTGCCATGTGCTCCCCAAAGTCCATATATAGCTGGCAACATTTAGAAACCAACACAATAGTGTGTTCTTGAGGGTGGGAGGGGGGGGATTAATTGTCCAGCAGGGATTACAGCTCAGTTTCAGGTTCTAACATGCCACTGTACTCATTATTCACGTTTCTTGTGGTTTACACCAATTAGCCCTCTCTTACAAACACACGGTGGGGTTTTGTCTGTATCTCACACACTCCGGTTTGATCTTCATCTCCTGTTTTTGGCCTCCTTTTTCTTCCCATTATGGTTTTCCTCCTGCTGATGTTGTAAGCATCTGTACTCCTTGTTATTTCCTGCCCCCCTGCAGTCTCCCCCCACCTCTCTGTCTGGGATGTGTGTGTGCAGATGCGTGTGTGGTTTCACATATAAATGTGAGCTACGTATAGCCCATAGCGTGTATGTGTGTGTATCTCTGCGTATGTATGTATGTCTGTAATCACGTCGTATCTCCCTTGTCAGCTGTCTGAGCTCGTTGAGTTGTATTTGTGTGTGCGTATGTCTGCGTGTGAAGCTAAATAGGATTTCCTCAGAGTATGAAATCTGAAGGTGAGCCCATCCAGGTGGAACATCGACTCCTAAGCAGTGAAAAAAAAATCACATTCTCGGGTTGAAAAACCAACACACACACACACACACACACACACACACACACACACACACACACACACACACACACACACACACACACACACACACACACACACACACACACACACACACACACACACACACACACACACACAGCTTCCATCTGGTTTAAAGAAAAAAAGAAGTTATATTTTTAACTATTTAAGTTCACCTGCTTGTTGTTGTTTTCCTTAAACTCACCTTATGTATGTTATATTTCTCTATTATTCTGCATTTTACTCCCTCTAGATGTTCTATTTTCATTATCTTTCTTCTTATCCTTTATTGATATTTGTATTAATTTCGAAACATTTGGCTGCCTAGCATAAAAGGTCACTCATTAAACAAGATAACACTTTCACTTGGTATAGGTCGCAACATTTTAATGGTATACACACTTAAAACATGATCCAAACTGAATCCAATATTGGGTATGTAAGGGAACATATCTGAAGAAAGAAAACCAAACATTTAAAAATGGATGTGTTAATTTACTCCCCCATAGGAAAGGAAAATAGATGTAGGTCTACACGTGTTTTGGGAGGAGTACCCTGCCCCATAATGAAGTTATTTAGTAAATGTAATTTGAGATGATTCAGAGTTGACAGTAATGTTAGATATTATGAACTGAGAGTAGCTGATGGTCTGTACATAACTATCAATAGTATAACTTGTTTTGCACAGTTCATAGCGTGTTGTGGCAAGTAGATCACCTTCATGTGTGTCTGGTAAAACCAACTGTGGGGGAAACTTCTGAAGCAATTGGAGTCAGGACTCAGAGAGACACGAGGAGAGCTGGAGCTTTGATAGCAAACACTGATGGTTTATTTGGAGCTTCGGCCGGAGAATTCACAAGACATGTCTGGCAACATCAACAATATGCTAGGGCAGCCCCTCCTTATGGGAGATAATGGCTGCTCAAGGTTGGTCAGCTGCGTCAGAGGGCGAAGGAGGACATGCAGGGCAAATTATTCCCCAACACCAACAATTGTGTGATTTTACCAAAATGCTCAGTTGTTTTCCCGTTAACCACTTTATTGCATCAATGTTCAGAAAGTGACGTCGGTGACAGTGACTATAACCAGTATAGGCCTGCCGCCCACCTATAGGTGGTCATGAAACATATGCAACATGTATATTTCCCCCCTACGGTCTCTAGCCAAAATCTTTTGCAGCATAACATTTTTTTTCTGACAAACAATGAAAGAAGAACCAGGATGCTTAAATTTGGCGCCCGAAACGACATTGAGCAAACTACTTATTTGGCTAATATAATAAAAAAATATAGCCGTTTATGAGTAAAATAATCTGCAATACTTGAAAGGACTGTGATTGATATTACAGAAATCACATGTCATAATAATCCTCATAACATTTAATACATCCTATTTTATTTCAAATTCCAGACTTGGACATTATATTAGACGATAATGAAATAACAGATTATATTAAATGCCTTTTTTTTATTGTCCAATGCTTGTTATTTAACCTGTTATTCCAGCACTATTTGCAAGTGGATGTGTGGCTTAGAAAAGGATGAAGGATGTAGTTTGGGAGATATTTGTCCTCTAGCACGAAAATCAGATATGCTACACACATTCAAAACCTTGACCTGACTTTCATCAATGGCCCACTACTTCTCATATCGGCCGTTAGGGGCGGCATAAAAAACAAACAACCTGTTACAATATCTACTTTTATTCTGAATCCTCATGCCGTGTGTTATTGCTGCTGGCGGTATGCATTCAGGTCTATGGCTCTCTCCCAAAACTATCCCCACTCACCAGCACAGAGTGTCTCTCTCTGGCAGCTATGGAGGGTACTCCACATTAAGAGTAGGGTATAAAATAAAAGTCCACCATAACCGGGAGACATCTGTCACCCAGCATACTGACGGACACCTTGCTAGTTAAGCTGTTGAGTAATATAACCATGTACTATAAATAGATGTTCCTCTTCACGTTGACATTTGTGCATACAGGTAAAACACAAATGTAAAGTACTGTGATGCAGGAAGCAAGAAAGAAAAGTAAATAATTGGATAAAAACTCTATTTGTGTGAATGCTGATTCTTGATTTTTTTCTGTGTTTTAGGGGAAAGACTTTGGACCGGACCAACCTATAACAAGTATATCTTCAAGAACCACTGCGTACTCCTGCTGCTGTACATGGCCATCCCCTCTAAGTGATGGAAACTCCCATCACGGACTGACCTGTCTACCTTCTGAGTAGTGGAGCTTAAAGATGATATTGTTGCTTCTATCTACTTCATTGCAGTGTTTACTGGACGGACTTCTGTGAGGAATATTTTCCATATGGTGAGGAATATTTCCCCGATTTTTCTTCAACTAGCTGAAGGAAACCTATGGCTGCTACATTTCCCCCAGATGGTTTTACAATGCCTGGATTTTAAGAAGGATCATTAGCAACCCCCAACCTCTTCTGCTCCGGAGTTACCCCCCTTTACTTACGCCCGTGTGTGAATGTAATTTTAGTGTGATTGTGTTCGCTTGTGTTTGCTTCTGCATGGCGTAAGTGAGAGACAGAAAAAAAAAGAAAGGACAAAAGAGGAGGCAGTAAACAAGTTGAAAAACACGGAGTAGCAGCTATGTCCCAGTGGAGGCACCAGTCAAGGACTGGGTGTCAGCTACTTCTGACTGCTAAGAGTGGGAGCAGGATGATGGGATACATAAGCCTTGAAGGTTCTTTGCTCAGTGGCCGGTGGGTGTCCTCTCTAATATGGCTTGGACTGCTGCTGCTACAGACGTCTCTGGCTGAGAAACTTGACGAGAACGACCCAGTTGTGACAACCGTGTATGGCAGGCTGCGTGGTGTCAAGAAGGAGCTTAACAACGAGATCCTGGGTCCCGTGGTGCAGTTTCTAGGAGTCCCGTACGCCTCTCCGCCCACCGGCGAGCGTCGCTTTCAGCCACCTGAGCCGCCGGCGTCGTGGCCGGAGATCCGCAACGCCACACACTTTGCCCCGGTGTGCCCTCAGAGCATCGTGGAGGGCCGCCTGCCTGACGTCATGCTGCCGGTTTGGTTTACCAACAGCATTGACGTTGTCTCCACGTACGTCCAGGACCAGAGCGAGGACTGCCTCTTTGTCAACATCTACGTCCCCACTGAGGATGGTGAGTTAGCCTGTGGGCCCAGGGAAGGATGATTGTGGGGGTAGGGGGTGGCGGGGCGGAGGGTATCGAACCAACAAGATCCTGGTAGAGAGAAGGGTTTGTTGTTTTTGTCTTTGTCTGTCTGTCTGTCTTCCTGTCTGTCTGTAGAGGGAAAGCATGACCTTGTGCATGTTTAATGCATGACATTGCTTATAGAACATGCGTTTTTGAGAGTGATTTTGTGAAAGAGAGGACTGTGTTCGTGTGTGTGTTGGATCCATCAAGGCCATCAATCCTGTTTTCATTCCACTCCATAGCTGCCTCCATCTTCTTCTTTCTATTTCCCATCCTTCCCTCCTCCTCCTCCACCTTCCTGTTGCTTCTTTCCACTCAGCGCCTTATTTGCCCTCCTCTGCGGATGGACTCCCCCCCACTTCATCATGTCTGTAGCTCATCATAGCCTATTGTGCCTCACCACAATAGCTACAGTTCATTAAACAAGACAGTCGTTGTCATGATCATCACCGATTGATTTGGCTGAATGACTGGCTGGCAGACTGATAGACTGAATACTGCGCTGATTGAGCTGGTGTGTTTCATTCTTTCCCTGCGTCTTTATTTCTCCCCTTCCCAATTTTCAGTTGTGTGTGTGTGTGTGTGTGTCAGTGTGTGTGTGTGTGTGTGTGTGTGTGTGTGTGTGTGTGTGTGTGTGTGTGTGTGTGTGTGTGTGTGTGTGTGTGTGTGTGTGTGTGTGTGTGTGTGTGTGTGTGTGTGTGTGTGTGTGTGTGTGTGTGTGTGTGTGTGTGTGTGTGTGTGTGTGTGTGTGTGTGCATGCCAACTCCTGTGTGCGTTGCGCGTCAAGGGGCTCCATGTTATTCTTTAGTCTTCTATTCATTTACAGTCAAAAGAATATCCAAGGAATGTGCCAGGAAACCGGGCAAGAAAATATGTAGACAAGGAGGTATGTATGATCTGAACGCAACTTGTACAATGCCACAGAAAGAAGAATCTAGGAGGGAAACGAAGAAGAAGAACTATGTGGTACAGCAGTCATGAGATCAAGGTCTACGGATTACTCAAGGTCTCGATTCAGGGTATCTGCAGGTTCTCAGAATGCTACATTTAAGAGATGGGAGCTTTTGAAACTCTACCTGAAAGTAAATTTAGGCCAACTTAAACATCTGAACTAAGCTTTCAGAACCTGTCTGAACATTCCTAGTGCATTTCAGAAAGTGGGCAGAACAGAAAATACCCTTTCAGATTCGTAAGACTTTTGTCAGAACCATGAAGTATCCTGCAGATATTATCAATAACGTATTTTTTATTCCAACCCTGAATCAGCCTTTTCATTTGTAGACCTTGTGATGGCGGGTTAATGGCGAGGTAGTGTTGCACCATGGTCAATAGATGTGTGTGCTCCCATTGGTCAGAACGATTGAGCACTCTTTTATTGGCCGCCAGAACAGGGGCCAGAAGGTGCGTAGTAATGATGGTTGAGGAGATAGCAGCATATTAGATCAAACTTGCAGTCACAAACACACACACATACACACACGGTGATGTAGTTGTATGCAGTGTTAAACAAGATGAGCTCAGGCTGACTTTAATCTCCATTAAAAGAAAGCAGAGTTGTGTTCAGGTTGGCTCGGGCTACTGTATCAAGCACTGTTTCATCAAGATAATGCCCTCTTCTTCCCTTCTGTCTTTCCCCTCCCTTCCTCCCCCCCCCCTCCCTCCCTGGATTGTTGTGCGGTATATTTGCGTGAGTGTGCAAGTGTGTGTGTGTGTGTGAGAGAGAGACAGTTGCTGACAGTGTCCTTGATAAGGTCTTTGGTGTTAATGTCATTTTCTTGGCAGCAGCCTGCATTATCACTTAGTGTACACCCCTCGTCGTCTTACTACACAGTGACTCGTACACTCTAACCTCCCTTGTATTCTTCTCCTTTCCTCAAACGTGTTGCGCACACAGATAAACAGAGGGACACTGCATTTAAACTGAGAGATTACAGGAGCTTACATATTAGTTACACAGCATGGAGAATCATCATTATAACAACCAAGACCCAGACAATCTGTTGTGCGTTTTTTTTTTCATTTTTGCAAAAGGGAGATTAGGTTCAGGAAACAATGCATCTTGTACAAAAAAAGCAAAAGCAAAATGGCGGCCTTGTTACAGTAGCAGCTGCTCTTCTCGTACACCCAATGGCTTTGCACTGAGAGAAAATTACCACTCAACTTTATTAACAGTCCCTCACTGTTTGCACTTCATTAGGCAAAGTTGCTCTGCTTTTCTATACAGTGCTCCATACTGGAGGTAATTAAAGTGTACATAAATTAACAAACATTAATGCATGTAGGGCATATTTTATATTTATACAGTACAGCATGAATAATAATTGCTCAATGTAACTGATATGTAAGTGTGAAATGTGGCTTAAAATAAATGCTCTGTTAGAAGACAGGGTTTGAAATTCATTCTGCATATTAATAGTTTAGAGCCCCTATCCACATATGGCCTTTTTCTGGCAGAAAGGCCATCAGAAAACGCTCCCAGCGCTCTTTTATTGTTTCTATGACAGCAATTATTATTATTATTATTATTACGGCGGTGCCGTTGTAATAATAATAATAATAATACATTATATTTATATAGCGCCTTTCAAGGGACCCAAGGTCGCTGTACATGGTGGACAAACAAAACAAACAGACAATCAAAGGGCAAACAAAAAATAAAGGAAGCCGGGGGACCAAGAAAGGGCTAGGGCCCGAAGGCCAGGGTGAACAGGTGTGTTTTTAATGATGATTTGAAGATGTCCAGGGAGGCAGCATTACGGATCTCGGCAGGAAGTATTCCAGATGGTGGGGGCCGCAACACTGAAAGCCCTGTCACCAACAGTTCGGAGGCGAGAGTGGGGGATGGAGAGCAGGCCCGTGTCTGAGGACCGCAGACTCCGAGAAGGGGTGTAGGGATGGAGGAGGTCCGATAAGTACTGGGGGGCGAGGGTATGGAGGGACTTGCACGTGAGGAGGAGTGTTTTGTACTGAATCCGGGAATTGACCGGCAGCCAGTGTAGGTGGATGAGGGTGGGGGTGATATGTTGCCATGGCTTGGTGCGGCTGAGAAGCCTGGCGGCAGAGTTCTGGACGTATTGGAGCCTGTCCAGGGTTTGGCTGGGAACCCCGGACAGGACTCCATTGCAGTAGTCCAGACGGGATGTGATGAAGGCGTGTACAAGTGTTTCTGCCACAGAGTCAGAGAGTGAGGGGTGGAGTCTGGCAATGTTTTTGAGATGGTAGAAGGCGGATTTGGTAACAGATTTGATGTGCGCCTGGAAAGAGAGGGTGGTGTCCAGGATGACTCCCAGGTTGCGGACTTCAGTGGACGGGGAGATGGAGCAGCCGTCAATGGAGAGAAGTAGGTCTCCGACCTTCTGGAGCTGCGCCTTGGGAGCCACAATCATGAACTCTGTTTTATTGCTGTTGATTTTGAGCAGGTTTGATGACATCCAGTTTGTTATGTCCTGGAGGCAGTTGACAAGGGATTGAGGGGGGAGCTGAGTGGACGCTTTGGTGCAGAGATAGAGCTGTGTGTAATCAGCATAAGAGTGAAAGCTGAGACCATGTTGGCGGATGATTTGACCAAGTGGGAGCATGTAGATGGTGAATAGGAGGGGTCCAAGCACAGAGCCTTGAGGTACACCTTGGTTGACTGGGGCCGGAGGGGAGCTGCAGTCACTGATGGTGACAAAGTGTTTCCTGTTAGAGAGGTAGGGCTCGAACCAGGCAAGAGCTGTGTCACTGAGGCCAAGGTAGTCAGACAGGCGGCTGAGGAGGATGGTATGGGATATGGTATCGAAGGCTGCAGAGAGGTCCAGGAGGATGAGAATGCTGATGAGGCCAGAATCAGATGCGATGAGGAGGTCGTTTGTGATTTTAATGAGGGAAGTCTCTGTGCTGTGGTGGGGTCTGAAGCCAGACTGAAGGGGTTCATAGAGCTCATGGTATGACATGTGGTGTTGCAGTTGTGCGGCAACTGCTCTTTCCAAGATTTTACTGAGGAATGGAAGGTTTGAGATCGGCCGGTGGTTGTTTAGGTCCTCCGGGTCCAAGCCAGGCTTCTTCAGGATAGGAGAGACTGAGGCAGTTTTGAGGCAGGGTGAGACTGTGCCAGAAGACAGGGACAAGTTCACTATGTCAACTATGATGGGGCAGATGGTGGGTAGGGCTGCTTTGACCAAGGCTGTGGGCATGGGGTCGAGAGAGCAGGTTGATGTATTGGCCTTTGTGACCAGCTTGGTTATTAGGAGGGCATCCACTGGGGAGAAGGTGGAGAGGCTGCACCTAGATCGGCAAATAGTACCTTGCAGCTGGGGTGAGGTTGGAATAGGGGGGGGGGGGGGGGGGGGATGCAGGCACCACAGAAGCTGCTGGTGGATGGAATCGACTTTGGGAACTTCGAGCAGAGGTCGAGAGCACCTGGAGGATGGGGGGGCGGAGAAGCCGGTTTATGGTGGAGAACAGCATTCTCGGTTGGCATTGTTGGTTGCCAATGAGGGTGGAGTAGTACAAAGACCTAGCCCGGGAGAGGGCTTCTTTGTAGGACTTTACATGGTCCTGATAGGCTTCACGGTGGACGGTGAGGCCAGTTCTTTTTTTTAGTCTCTCTAGCCGACGACCAGAAGCCTTCAGGGTGCGGAGTTCAGTGGTGAACCAAGGGGCCGAACGGGTAAAGGAGACAGTCCGGGTTTTGAGTAGGGGTGCAATAACTAATCGACTTAATCGATTAAAATCGATGACCAAATTAGTTGCCAACTAATTCAGTCGTCGATTCGTTGGTGACGTCATCACGTTAAGCTCCAACGTTATCGGTCTTTTTATCGGTACTGGAGACATTTAAAAAATATATGTCATATGTATTATTGCTACATAAACATTATATCGCTGTCTTAGGGTCGCCAACTCGTCTCTAACATGCAAAAATGCGTCTATGATGTATTTTCGATCTCTCCAATCCAGACGAG